GCACCTTATTCTGCCCTGTTCAAACAACGTGGTTAAAACAACAACAACAACAACAACAAAAAAAAAACAGTGACCTGAAACTTTTCCATCCATCCATCCATCCATCCATCCATCCATCCATCCATCCATCCATCCATCCATCCATCCATCCATCCATCCATCCATCCATCCATCCATCCATCCATCCATATCCATGTCTTTCATACATTGATAATTAAAGTACATATATTTCTTATAACTTCACGGAGTCTAGAAAATTTATTCTAAAATATGTAAAAAGTATACTTTTTCATATATTTGAAAATTATTGTTTCCTAACAAAGTGGCACAAGTTCTTGACTGCAAACACTGGAACATTAACAATACAGTAAGGCTAGCATTGCTCTAAGGAATCAAAATAAACTGAATTAATAATTTTTACTGAATATTCTTTAGATCTTCAATATAAAGCTATGAAACATTGCAACCCAAAATACTTCTGTCCAAGTGAAGCAGTAATACAACTGACAATAATGTGAAGTCATTTGGACGAGATGAAATGTTTTTTGCGGCTCCTATAAATTGTTACCCAACATCAGTATTTAGGACATGAACTATGAAAAAAATTGTCAGTGCCACTTGTCTTTGTTTATTAATTTTGTCCATTCCTGCTAAAATCATAAACCTGAGCATGCGATTCTATAGGACACAGATACCAGAAATAGAATAGACCAGACTTTTACCTTCAAGAATACACCAGACTTCCAGTGTGAAACCTGCAGGCTGTCCACTTGGATCTATGAGACTGGGAGAGTCTGCCTCCTCGAAGGTATTCTATTTTTATGGAGCGACTCAGCAGCACAGATCCTCTTAATGTATTTGCATTATGTGTGCAGCATACCTAGAGATCAGCGTAATGCAGGCATTAATGCACAGCTACAAGGCTGGTGTGTTTACATGTCTGTCTCCCAGACATACCTTTAACAGACAGCAGGACCTTCCTCAGGTTAAACTTTGCAAACTAATCTCCAACAGACTGACGATAAGCCTCGACCTCCTGCAGAGACCCATCACCTACTTCCTTTGTCTCAGACAGTGGTTAAGCTCTACTTTGGAGTTCACCACACGTGCATACCAACAATACCAATAATACCATTACTGTGAGATAGAAGCAGTATACATATACAGTATGTCTGTGTGTTATTGTATCAGAAAGCAGTTTCAGCATTTCAACTCTCACTATTCTGACCTAAACTTACTTTTTACCTTGGGTTTATCCCGAACAATTTTCAGTTTAGACACAAGGGGGCTCTTGCTGTTGGTTACACTTGCTGTTCTGAAGCCTCCACTTAGTGGTTAGTTTGGTCAGCTCAACCAGGTGTGGAATTTGAGCCAATCAGTGCATGTAAGAAACTGGCATGAACTGGTGAGTAGCATGATTTCAATTTAGATAAGATATATTTTTAAAAATAGTGTACTTAGTACCCAGAAGCATTTTTTGTGAAAAAAAAAAAATTATATCTATCTATCTATCTATCTATCTATCTATCTATCTATCTATCTATCTATCTATCTATCTATCTATCTATCTATCTATCTATCTATCTATCTATCTATCTATCTATCTATCTATCTATCTATCTATCTATCTATCTATCTATCTATCTATCTATCTATCTATCTATCTATCTATCTATCTATCTATCTATCTATCTATCTATCTATATATATATATATATATATATATATATATATATATATATATATATATATATATATATATATATACATATATCACATTGTAGAAATTTACCTCTGGATTTAACCCATCCCCTTGGGGAGCAGTGGGCTCCCACCATGGGTGCGGGGAACAGTATGAGATTAAGGGTCTTGCTCAGGGACCCAGAGTGGCAGTCTGTGGGAGTGGGGCTTGAACTCAGAACCCCAGGATTCAAAGCTACCACTCCCCCAATACATACACACAAATATATATATATATGGACAAAAGTATGCTGTTGATTTCAGATGGGGGGCACAAGTGTTTTTTAATAAACCTAACTTCGGTGTGTTCGACCATCCAATCACAGACCCGATTCGGTGGCACATCTGATGTTTGTAAAGTGAGCTTCTCAGGAGTGACAGTGACAGTGACAGCCAATCACACAATATAAGATGGAAGGCCAATCAGCAGGAGCGAGCTAAACTCAGGGAAGAAGCCTTCAGTTTGAGCTGGGGTTTTGGTCCTATTGCTATATATAATGGAGTATGGTAATGTTCCACAAAACTCTGAGCTATCCAGGACTCCACTGAATGAGCACATTCTCATTAGCCTAGTGCTAATGCCTTCAGGTTTGTATCACCTGTAAAATCCCCACATTTAAGCATTATATTGAGTGTAATGACTAAAATGGAACATTTGCCTTTGGAATAGTTGCTGAATGTCATGCCATGCTTTTCAGGGTTCTCCATCTTTGCACAAAAGAATCTGAAGGATCAAGTCAAACATGTGCTATAACCCACTATCGATGTGCCAGATTTCAAAGGCCAGTTACAGCAGCTGTGGATTTGCTTACTGCAGGTTTTGGAAAAATCTCTCTCTGACTTATTTTCTCTCCAGATTCCCTCGGACTCGATGGAGTGCGAAACCCATACTTTCAAGGGACTAGCCGTATGTCAACCTATCTATTTGGTCAAACATATATGCAATTTACGTTTACAGATATGTTTATTTTATCAGTAAGTGTATGAGAATTCTGATTCTGAACCAACCAAGTAAAACAGAAGAACACCATTTTGGTCTTTCCAATAATGTCATAACATATGTATTATACCTGACATACCTTCTCATGCTGCAAAGCATAAGGAATTCAAATCCACTTATTTTCCGGGCTCTTAAGATCTATAAAATATACGTTCCTTTAATATGACTCTTTTTTTCCTCCCTCTGCTTCACAGAGACTTAACTGGACTGAGATGAAGGAATTTAGAGCTACATTCCTTACAAATCCAATTTTCTGTATTTCTTCTTCCTGCTATTCAAGCCTGCAGCTTCAATACCTGATACATACTTATCTTCATAATATCCTCTCACGTAAGCTGCATGGTAAATGTGGAATTTCCTTGTGCTTTTTGAGCCTAGTTTTAATCCGAATCCGCCGCTGAACAGCGTTGACCCAGCAAATGAGATCCAAGACCCTTGAATGAGAGCCAGTAGGAGGCATCTGTAAGATACCTTACCCTGCAGCTGCTTTTTATCAGCTCATCACATTATTTGAGTACTAACCCACACCTGCTGCTGCAATTAGAACTGACTGGGTCAAAACAAAATGTAAGCCTTTGGAACAACAAGTAATTAGTAAATTTGTAATTGAAAGTTTGGTAGGGAATAATATATAAAACACTGTCATATTTTGAAGTTTGAAAAATAACATTGGAATCATAGAGCTGACTTGGATTTTTGACTTTAGAGCAGGTGTGTTTTTTTTATCGTTTACCTTAATGACTTGTCAGAACTATCAACAAAAAATGTCATCAATAAAAAAAGTGTACTATCAAGAGAACATCCTGCCTCTCTGTTACTTCCTGTCTACCTGCAAGGATGTAGCATGGGAGTTCAGCCATTGCAGGTTATAGAGATGGCAGACAGGAAGTCTTAGAATTATCACACTGCCCTAGAATTAAAGGAAAGCGGTTTCTGTTGGACATCACATTTTATTACCTTGATGTGTTTATTTGGGATGCTTAAGGGGAGGTAAGCTCCTGAAATTGTATTACTGGGCACATATTAAGAAAATATGTATTTTAAGTTTAACAATTGCCTATTAATTCAATTCAGTTCACTTTATTTATATAGCGCCAATTCACAACACGTCATCTCATGGCACTTTGCAGTTCACCAGATCATACAGTCAAATCGATTCGAAGTTTTCTATAGAAAGGAAGGAAATCCCTCACACTAAGCATGCTTGTAGTGACAGTGGAGAGGAAAAACTCCCTTTTAACAGGGAGCGGAAAAGCATTAAAAAGAAATCCTTAAGACGATTTAATCTTTTAGATGTTGGCCTACTTTTAGTCTCTGAAAGAAACAAAGTCGTGTAAAAATAGGAACTCTGCTAAATTGTGGAAATGGAAACACTTGATGGATGCCAGGTTTTCACCCGGAGACATGACTGCCATCATCTTTGGTCAGACTTGGAATTTGGTCTTACAACAGGAGGAGAAAAGACAGCGGGGACAGTAGAAGCAACTAGTGAGGGTGTCAAAGTTTGGAAAGAACGGCAGACAACACCGGAAGTGGGAGAGCCGTGTTTTACTGCCAAAGTAAAAGCACCTCACTAGTTGGAAATTGCATTCTTCATATTAATTAAGAATACTTTTGTTTTTATGTCAAATTTTTTTTTTTTCAAAGCTACTTCTTTCCCGAGAGGTAGGTGCAAAGAAAGTCTATTTTCCGAGTAAATACTTGCTATAGATAAACAAGGGATGTGGGCTTTTATAATGATGATAAATAATGTAACCAATATCAATTTAACCACGTTGCTAAGAAATTTAAAGTAAAATAAGATTGATGATTCTTGTTGAATCCAGATGCCTAAAGTTCCTGCGCATAAATAGGCTATTTTGTGTTTTTTGGGAGTGCAAAATTATTTAAAAAAAGCTTTTAGTGATACACAATATTACTTAAACACTTGCAAAATGTGTATAAATAGTCAATAACAAGTAATAAGTAATGAAATGGGGACAATGACTTCATAGCATGGATAACTCAAAATTTAACACACAGATATTGATATTTGATTAGGTTTTGAAATGCATGTCCATGGGGATTAAGTCTGTAATGTGTAGCCTGTATTTGATCATATTGTAGAAACTTGTGTGGCTTTATTTTGTTCATTCATTTTCAATACAGATGATTCATAAAGGAAATTAAATGTGTCACAATAGCTTTAAATCTAGCTTTATTTTGAAACCAACATCCGCATTGGAGGATCCCTTACAGTGGGTAACTTTGCCTCAGCTGGAATATCAGCGCAGGGCTGAACTTAAGGTGGTTGGACCCTTAGTGCAGCTTCCAGAACAACCCTGAACCTCATCGAGCTGAACAACAGAGATGATGGGACTTTAAACATGAGCTCAGACTTATAGTTTCTCAGTGTGCAAAGTTAAAAACGAAGATTCTGCTCTCAGAGGGGAAAAGTTTAACTACTTTGCTGTGGATGCGGAGATGCGCAGAAGGTGATCGGGATCCTCGTTGCTTCTACAGACCTCAACGAGTAATCAAAACGCCATGAAAGGTAAAAAAATAAAAAGTATAGTTTGTGTATTTTTTTGCAATGCATGCACGGGACTTTCAAAATTCAGATTTCAATCCAGTTTTTTATAGCACAGTTTTGCGCGTTCAGATACTAAATCCGATGAATCTATTACCTTTAAGCGCAGATGAGCAGACACAATCTAAAAAACATGTCATTGGCATGGCTATGAAAAACTTTCTGGTGTATGATTTTTAAGCCAGCATCTCTAACACTTAAATATAAGTCACCATTTCGCCATCTCTTTTTGCAATTTTCACCTTTTTTGCAGTGCGCCTCTTCCATCTGATTTATGTTTCGCGGAGATTAAGGCGCGTCTGCGCTGCACAGTTTTATGAATTGAAGGATAGTAGAATATAATTCCGTTATGTTTTTCTAACGAAATTAGCCAGCATAAATTAAACAAATAAACAAATTACACAAAAAGTTTTTTTATCTAAATCATAGTAGATTAACAGGTAATCCACCAACAAATAGTTCAAAAATGAAGATTCATGAATGCAATTTGATTTCTTTGAGCTGAATCTTTTAAGTGGACTGATCTTTTCAGTCATATTGTCCACACCATGTGGACACATTTACAAACCTGCACTCATTCATGCACCAATACACATTTTGGTGTTAACTACCCCGAGGAGGCAAACATCCATAACAGGAAGTTTGGAATCAAACCAACAACTCTTGGAATGAAAGATGACTACTCCTCTTACAGGATCCCCTAAAAACACCAGCTAGTATGTGATCTGCTCATTATCTACCGACTTCTCTTACCTCTGAGCTCCTTCTCACCCATGTCTTCCTCCCCTCAACCCCATATGCCTAACATTACTTACAATTCCCTCTGATGTTTTTGTTCCAGTTTCACTGTAGTGTAGCAGAGTGTAATTAAAGTTTACCGTCAACAAACCACAGAAACTTCACCCTGCTGCATACCTTGGACCACTAAACCCCACACACAAAGACAAGAGGTCAAACAAAAACAGTAAAATCCGTGGCTCTATATTTTTGAAAACATTTGGCTCCGTACAGTTGAACTTTGCTGTGTTTTCTGATTCATATTGTTGCCTTTATTGCAAAGGACAACTCTTAACTCTTGTCTTATTTTTCTTATGTCATCTAGACAACTTTGGAGACGAGGAGGAAGTACAGTCTTTTGGATACAAGAGGTTCGGTGAGTAGAAACTGTTGTTCGTGAAGTTAGTAGAGAGAAGCCAGCATGCTTTGAGCTCTGATTATAAAACCTTTATGGCCTTTCAAATAAACTGCACTGGGTAACAGGCACTGAGTGTGTGGGCTTAACCCTTTGTGATTTTAAGCACTCACTTACACACAATCACCCTCATATTTGCACACTGCAACAAAAAGTTTGGATGAACCTCCAAGGATATCTTGAAAAAATGCAAATTATTACTTAGCTAATATCAAAAATGTGGCTGAAAGTCTATGTGGTCCAACTATCTACAGGCCAAGCACCTTTTGACAGAGTGAAGCAGATCAAGAAGCTTCTGAAACTCTCTCTTCAAGCATCCTGCAACTTACCAAGTCACTTAATACAAACTAACATTGTTATTGTGTGTATGTTTAGGTCTTAAAAACACCCTCTGGTGGTGGTTGAAAGTCACAGCAGTATAACAGCAGTTTCTTTAGTTAAAAATTAACTCAAAATATTTTATTTAGAAGAGTTGACTATAATAACGTCTGTATTTGGAGCACCAGCTTTATTGATGACATAGATAAAATAATCACAACTAAAGCGGAATATCAAATTGCCATTATTGTTTTCACCTTAAATGTAAATGATACATGTCATATTATGGCCTGAAAAAAATTTAGATTATTTATTGAAATGCTTTGGAGTTTTTCCATCAAAAAACCTTCCCATTTAAAGAAGGGAACACTTGGTGGAGACAATTTATCTGGTAGAAAAAATAAAGATGATGATGTTAACTAAAATTTCACTGAAACTGTCCGACTACAGATCTTCTGTAGAAAATAACTGGGCTATACAGGTTGAGACATTTAAAAAAATGTCTTCTTTTTGTTATTAAGCTAAGCTCACTAAGCCCAGTTAGTGAAATAAAAAAGAAGATGATGAAATAAACTCTGTTACAGAGAAAAATATATTAATTAGGGTCTGTCTTGCAGCTTTAGCGCCCCTCCCCCCTTGGGGTTGCTAAAGCTTGTTTTATAGCTGACACATCTGCGAGGTCCGTCCGGCCAAATTGCGTCATTTTAGCTTCCACACCACTTGATGCGCCTAGGAAAATTTGTAAATATGCAGACAACACCGCGTGGAAATTGCGGTGGAGGAACAACAGCTCTTTTGGGCCGGGGTTTGCAAATATAAAGTTCTTGAAACATCATTAAGCTCGTGAACATCATTACGATTGTGAAAATCTCTTGAAGAGAATTTACCCTCACTCTTGAATGACCCAAAGAAGATTTAATAAAAGTTAGAAACTGTGGTTTTTGTTAAAGTATTGTGGTGTTGAAGGCTTTGTACATGACCCCCCTGGTGCCAGCCTGAATATTAGGTACAAGTGGAAAAGCTGCACATGATATAAAAGCTGAAGATCTTGTGTTGGTGCTTCTCATTATTCGCACTAAACATACATACGTTATGCATAACAGTAATTTTTACAGCAATTTGCAGAAGCACATTGATTTAACAAAACATTTTTTTTTATCCTCGGGGCTGTTATGACATGACACATAAATAAGATGAATAATAAATTTAATTCAATCTCATGTAGATATTTTTTTACTTACACGCTAACTTCAGCTCTGTAACACAGTGTGCAGCTACAAGAAGGTAGAAAAGGAAATATTTAGAAAATAACTGTCAATGCCTTAAAATTATGACCATCTGATGGTTGTCCAACATTCCTCATAGTAGGAAACAGACTCAACATGTTGTTTGTAAGTGTGTGCTTCCTGCAGCCTCTTTGAGAGTTTTTTTCAACATGCTCCCTTCCTTGAACTGAAGTCTTGTTTTGGAAAATAAATGAGAAAGAATGCATTAACTTTGACATAAACAAACTAGACTTTTAATTGCAGGACAGATGTTTGCTAAAAGATGAACTTTTTAAAACTGTTTTTTGGTGTCTATTCATTACATACATCCTTAAGTTTAAGTTATTTTTCCCTTTTATTCCAGCCATATTTGAAAAAAACGTATTTTTGAGTGGAAAGAGCTCTACTTATGAATATTCTTCTGTCCATCAAATGTTACAAGAACTTTGTTATCATAAACGTGCCATTTTTGCATCTGTTGCTGCTTAATTGCAAATAAGACAACACTTGTTGGGGGATAGAGCACAGCCATCCATAATAATTTTATTATTGAAACATTCATTGGAGAGCCTCTCTGTGGGAAGGGACCTTTAGGTTTACCCATTCAAACAAGCACAACAACCATGGATTCAAATTGTGTTGAAACTCAGTCTCTTTTATCTCTGTCCTGCGGGTAGGGGCATCCTGTTTGTCTGTCTCTGAAAGCCCATGCGAGTCGTGAGCATGTATTACATTAGAGATTTGTGGGGATGGGAGCCAAATCGAGCTCATTCTTTTAACTCTGTCCGGATTGTCGTGCTTGTACGAGCCAAGGGAAAACTAGTCTCCTCTAAGAGACAGGCCAGCTGTTTGGGAGAGCTGGCTCCAAAGTTCTTCCTCACCCCTCGTGAGGCTTTGTTGCACAACACCGCTGAATGCATGCAAACCATCAAAAGCTTGCATTCTTCTGCTATTAGTGCTCTAACGTCAGCTCTTCTGGTGAATCAAACAATGAGCTCCTCTTCACACGTTTAGTCTTCATTCCTTGCAGTCTTACTGCAGTTTAATGGTGTTTCAAATGTTAAAACATGTCAAAGCTGTGAATGTTTTCAATCTGTCTCTAGTTTTTAAAGTCATGTCTCAATTCAGGAACACAAAACCCTTCATCCTGACGGTTTTATTTGGTGAATGACAAAGAAATGCCAAAGTTTGTATCAATGTCTACATTGGAGACTATATAAAGAATGGTATAAACTGAAAAAGATTAGCAACTAGGATGTAGATAGAAGTTCACAGTCATGTCCCATGGGTCAGTTCCTAGCTTGTGAAAATGTGTTAAATCTTTGATTGATTCACATTTCATTGTTTTGCTACATAAATGTTATTCATCTAGCTTATTTTATAACATTTACCGTAATTTAAACTGAGCATGCATGTAGCTACAGTTTAAAGGGAATCAGTATGCATATCATATATAATACAGAAGCTCTGGTGAATAAGTAGTTTTAATGTGGGACAAAAGTAAAAACTTGAACAGCTGCAGTAGCTCTTTTTTTGGCCTCATCCAGGGGAGAAACATAACTAAGCAGATGAGATCTGAGACAGGGTTCAATTCTAGAAGATGAAAGAGTGAATGATGAATGTAGAATTAGTCACATTAGAGGGTCAGCTAATTGCTTTTGAAGGAGAAAGAATTAAACACTGAAAGAGAGGGCCAAGGGTATCATCAATACACAAAAATACAGGTTGTCTGGAGCTGCTACCAGGCCAATACTTTTCTCCAGAATGGTGTCACAGCTGAACAGAACGCCAGGCCAGATGAAGCTACCATGGAGAGGAGAAAAAAAAACAAATATAAAAGTTGAAATAACAGCAAGTAATGTAACACTTGGGAACACAAGAGTAATGGAACATAGCAGAGTGAGGAGAGTTGGTCTTATAAAAGTCATAAAAGTTTGCAGAGGGTCTACTGGAGTTTGGTCCCATTGGAAAGGAGCACGAAAACTGAAAGATCTGCCTCCCATTCTACCTTTAGAAAGTCTAGGAACCACCAGTGAATTTGCAGTTAGGGAGCAACAGGCTGTTGGGAACATACAGAACAATAAGATCTCCGATATAATAAAGAGTTAGATCAAAAGGCATCAGCTTTATATTTGAGAATTAGACCTATAGATTATATTCTAGGTTTAATAGGAGCCAAGGAGTAGAAGCTAAAAAAAGGAGAAATTTGATCTCTCTCTTTTATTTTCATAAGGCTCCTGCTGCAGTTTTTGCATATATGCAGCATCATTATGGGAGCAGATGAAATTCTGTCTTGTCTTTCAATCCAATCCAGTTGAAGGTTTTCTGCTCATGTGTCACTAGGCAAACCTCATTACCCCAAGATGCCTATATGTGTGCATGTTTGAGAGAGCGATTGGATAAATGTGGCGACAGTGATTTGAGTTAGTCTTGCACCGATACCAGTATCAGACGGGGAACCGATCCAGCACTAAAGTGGTGGTATCGGTATCGGCGAGTACCAACAAATAGGGTACCATTACCATTTTGAGAGGCAAGAGTTTATTCAACTATTGTCATCCATACCAGGTAGGCAATAAAAAGTTCTACTGGATTTACTTTGTATTTGTCTTTTTCCTGCTTCACAAAGGTAGGCAGTAGCTTGACAAAGCCATGATGGCAATTATTTTACATCCAAATAGTATGCAGTTCTTAATATATACACACACACATCAATTTCAAACAGATGGTATCGGTATCGGCCAATACTGCACAGCCAGGTATTGGGTATCAGGGCCAAAAATTGCATCGGTGTAACACTACATTTCGTATGACTAGGGAAATACCGGTACTATTGCATTAAGTCCTGGTTAACCTCTTTGGTTGATTATTCTCCCCAGATATATATATATATATATATATATATATATATATATATATATATATATATATATATATATATATATATATATATATATATATATATATATATTTTTTTTTTTTTTTTTTTTTTTTTTTTTTCTCTAATAGTGGGATCTGATGAGATGAATTATGTAACTATAAAACTTTCTCTTGTGTGACCTGAGTCCTCATCTTTCTTACAGTTCTTTTGTAAAGTTAAATGCTTTTTTGCCTTTGTTGTTTTCTGCAAGGTACAACTTTAAAATCTAAGACAAATCATTTAAATACATCATGCTTTTTAATTCTGTGGTGTGATGCTCTCATCTGTCTTGTATTAAAAAGCCACATACTAATATGGCTTCAATTTAGTCAAGACAAAATATGTATACACACTAGTAAAGCCTGGCGCATTTCCCAGTTTCCCAAAAGTTACCCATGAAAAATGTACATTGTGTAATGGCAACAAATGTACATGTTACACAATGTGACCAGGTGCTG